ATTCTCCATTGGCCCCTAGCTTCTGAATACTCTTTCCAACAGTCAAGGCTATTGATCAAATGCCTGTGAAGTGTCCCCATACTCCTTTAGTCACTATGGGGTGCACAAAGTAGAACAGGAATTCAGGAATCTACAATTACACCACCAGAGATTTGTTCCTACAGGCTCATGTATTTTTTTGCAACTTCTCACTTGAAGCTGCCATTGGGCATTCTTCCACTGAATTTATTTCCTGAACAAAATGGCGCTTCTGAGAGAAGGGAGGTTGTGGGAAAGAATGAAGGGCACTTTTGAAAGAACAAGCTTGTTGGAAGGCCACAGGGATTGATGTACTGATATATAGAGAAGAAAATGGGAGGGGTTAGGGTTCACTTAAACACATCAGTCCCTTGACAATAATTTCTTTATCTTTTATTCTTTTCTTTTTTAAATGGATGGCAAATGGGTTTGGGGGGAAAAATGTTGCACCCTTATGATTTCTATCTATGGCTACATTTAATCTAAGTTTAATAAAAACATCAGCAAACAGAAGTAGGAATGTCCATGACACACTTCCTGACCTGTACAATCCTCATAATAAGTTTGTTTGCTGGCGGCTTCTGACTCAGGGACGATGAGGGGCAGGGGCCAGGAAGGGAAAGGGGAGGACAATGCCTCTTGAAGTAAACTCAAACAATTAAAATTCCACCCCAGGGGCACCAAAATCAGGAAAAACTTCCATAGAACAAATAATCTTGGGCTGAGAAATCTTGACCCAGCCTCTGAAGTCAAGGTCTTGAAAATTCAGATAGGAAAAGTTCTCTCGGCATGATTTCTTTTGGCACAAGTCTCAAAAATTGAAATCAAATGCTGCACAGTCAAGCAGCTTCTAAGCAATTTCAAATAAGCAAAGTCATAATTCATCTCTAGTCAAACAATGTGAGATTTTTAATAAGAGCAACAGGAAAAGTTCTAGAAGGAAAGAACACTCCTAATTTCCATTGTTCTGCAAACACTCCCTCTCAAGTGATTTTTCCCTTGCAGTGGCTGAGTGGGTGTCTGATGATCTGAACATGAAAAAAAATTAAACCATACTCTTTTATTCCAGTAATGGATAAGTGTGATAATTTCTTACATAATTCTGGATTTTTGATATGCAAATGTATTTGCTTGTGTGATGTAGCAGAATTTGTGCTCGCCTAGCTTCCCACCCAAGTAACTGGAAAATATCCATGTGATGAGGGAATGCCCCTTGGGGCCCAGTCTCTTCTTGGCTTGGAGACTGGCTTGCAGAATGTACTGTGCAAATTATTTAACTTCTGTTTCACAAGTGCATCTGCAAAATGGGATGGGGGCAGTGGTTCAGAAACTATATAAGCCTGAGTGTTGGCTGTGAAGGTACATAAAATCCTCCTAAAGGGCTATGCTGTCTGTCCATCAAAGTTTTGATACTCCTTCAATAATAATAACAACATCCATCACACCCAAGCATCTGTACTCTGATYCAATGATTCAGAGTTTGTTAAGTCTTCTTCCATCTTTAAAAGTTCAAGAACTCCACACTAGGATCACAAGCACCTGTATTTTGAGGGAAAAATAAGGCTTAGGGTCATATTTATATAGAGAAAAAAACTTGCTTTCATTTAGAATTTGATGTGTTAATGTTATATCTTGTASATAAGCAATCAGAAATGTACATAATATAGTATCAAAGGAAGAAACATTAACCTGTTAATCACATAGCATAAATAATTAACTGGACAGAATAGGAAACCTAAGTTTTCTATTAAAAAGGTAAATTCTATTCTAGTACTGTTGTATTATACTTGGATAAGAAAGTTTCATATATATTCCAGGAAAGAGAGCTTTAGTGGCCTGGTCTCTTCAAAACTGGACAACATTTACTTGTCTAGATGAGAGGCAGGATCTTACAGTTGAGAAAGACAAAATGTTGGTTTTGATGTTTGAAATGTTTTCCAGTAGTAACTGTCACCAGGAAAGGAAAAATAGGTATACTTTAGACATACAGATAATCCAAAATTTTTAGGAATAATTTGTGAGTTTTTCAATATAGATATTCCTATCTGTTCTGTAAATAAGAAAAAATTAAGAAATAGCTTAGCATCCTCCGCTTATCAAATAAATTAATTACAGAAACAAAAATGAATACTAAATGTGTGTAAGATGTCAAAAAATCAATACAGGAGATTCAAACAATGCAAAAAAATTATGCTTTTTTTTCCTTTTTAAAAATTTTTATTTGAAATAATGATAGATTCATAAGAAGTTACAAAGATGGTACAGAGAGGTCCTGTATATTGTTCCGCTAGCTTCCCCCAATTGAAATGTCTTATATAATAGTACATTATTAAATTCAGGAAACTGATATCAGCACCATATTATTGACTAGATTTAGACTTTCCTAGGTCTAAAACAAGTTATTAAAACAACTTGGACACAACTAGAGATAAACTTGAGTCATGTACATATTTATTTTTAAAAGTGGCATAGTGTAGGGAATTGAACCTTGCTGTCATTAGAACTATATACTTTGGGTAAATTATTTAATGTTAATAAGCCTCAGTTTGTTCATCTATAAGATAAAAATAATATCACCAAGTTGTTACTAGGAAATATTTCTAGTCCAGTGAAACCATATATGAGGAACCCCCAAATACTAGTTTCCTTCATTTCTTCACAAGACCTGACACTTTAGTTCCCAGAGTTTTGGAGGAGACACTTGCCYTCCTAATAATCAACCTGGTTCTTGATTATAATTCTTATTATTTTCTTTRGGCTGGTCCTGTCTCTTATAGCCAACATCCCTGTCAAAGGACTTCCTCAAAAGATTTTAAGGGAGAAATCTCAACTCTGGGATGGGCTTAATGCCACTCCTCTCAGAAGCAGCCTTCTACCCCAGGAAAGTGATTTGAAAACCTCAGGACCAGTCTCTTCTGTGAAGCCATCCTCCACGAAGCCATCTAGCTGATCTGTGTCTCCATGGCCTAGCACCCAAGCTGGAGTTGACAACTGAGCTGGATGGTCCTCCCACTCATTTCCTTCCATGCCTGAGAGGTGGACCCTGGAATAATGGTAAGACTTTGACACTTGAGTCAGAAGGAGGGAATCAGTTCTTAATTGTGGGGTTTCTGCCCTCCTAACTAACTGCCACCTTGTGCAGGTACATGATTTGTGGTATTAGTCCTGAGGGTGATTATAAAACCCATCTGGGCTTCTCCATCTAGTTTTTATTGTGTATCAGAATAATTTGTCTATTGTAAGCCAACTGGGTAAGTGCCATCCTTCATTTTCTTTTTGGTACAGTGCCTGCCATTGCCTTAAAGTTCAATTAATAAAATTGCAGTAATGACCCTCCTTCTGGCCTGGTCTTTTGGAAGCAATGCTGGGCAGACAATATGTCTGTAGTGGATCTCCTCAGAGCCCCGGTCCTCAGCAGAGGTCAGAGTACAACTGCAACACTGTGGAGAGAGATCAGGGAACATGAGGATTATAGGGAGGGAGGCATACAGACCGGATTGAGAAAAAGGGATGTTGGGGTAGGGATGGGAGCAAGGTAGGCTTAAGAATAGTCTGGAGGTTCTTGTGAAAATCTTTAAATTTGGTGTCAGACTGATATTTTATGCGAATATTGGCTCTTCCGTTGACCAGCTGTGTGCATTGGGACAAATTCCTTAAGCTTCCTTAGCCTTTTTTTTTCCTCACCTGTGAATGGGAATTCCTACCTCTACACTGTGAAGGCTGACAAAGATGTTTTGCTTGATTAAACATTAGTCAAGCGCTGAATCATCTCCTGGGTCTATCTGTGCCCTTTTTATATAATCTAGTTTTAACAAGAACTCCTCACCCCTTCCTGAATATCATGATCACCCTCCATGTTTGATCAGGTTTGATCCTCCACCATCCTTCAGGTGACTTCTGGGCACCCTGACCTGTCTTCAGCAAGAATTCTGTTAGGTAACTTTAGCCAGAACCCATTCTTTCATACCACTGATATTTCCTCTTAGTAACTTTCCATCCAGTGACTCTCACCCTGCTCCTTGGCTATAAATTCCCACTTGTGGATGCTGTTTTCAGAGTTGAGACCAACCTCCCCTGCTCCAAAATTCCATTGCATTAGTCCCTATATTTATCACATTAGTCCTGAGGTCTCCACGAGGAAGCCCTTAACAAATGTTATTGAATATATTTTTTTCTTTAACAAGACACAGTAAAACAAAGGTGAAGGGGAGAGTGCCCAGGGCCTCAATAAATGAAAATTTCCTCCCTACCCCAGCCTTCTAGTAATATCCAAACACAGTTTAACCTGAAACTGTTCATCTATCCAGAGTTGGATACTGTTGGCCTACTACWGTGGATTCAGGTTTAGGGATTCTGTTCCAGTTGACCTTGAATCTTGGGTGTCAAATTTACCCCAGGACACAGGGTAGAATAGTGATATGAATAGCTGCAGRATGGAGTTATACTTAGCAAACCAGGAAGGTCACACCTAAGGCCCAAATGCTTCCTTCTGACTGCAGACAGGTAACCAGGTGTGACATGAAGACCTCTGCCCTAGCAGGAAGGACTTTTTTTTCTCTCCCGTGCTGCAGCGATGGAGGGTGCTAGGGTTGACTCTGTGCCAAAGGTGGCGTTTGGGGCTCTGAGCAAGAGAATGTCGCGGGAAGCCARGACGTACACAGGGGAGGCTCAGAGCGGCAGGGCCAGCGGGTGGAAAACGAGGGGCGTCGGGCCCGGCTCCCGCGGCGCGGCGGCCGCCAGGTGGCACCAAGGGCCCGGGGCCTGGGCGCCTCCCGCGGGCGGCGCGGCGGGGCGGGGCGGGGCAGGAAGGGGTTAAGGAGCTGGCTGAGCCGCCGCCGCGGCTCTTCGGGGAAACCCGGCGCGGGGCGCGGAGGAGGGAGCGGCCGCGGGCTGCGGGGCCGGGCCAATCGGGCGGCGGGCCCGGCGCGCGCGGAGCAGGCAACATGGAGGGAGGCGCGGCGCCCGGCCGCCCGTGACGCGCCGCTGCCCGGCCCGCTGGTCAGCGAGCCCGAGCCGCCCGCGGCCCCGCGGCGCGGAGATGAGCAGGTCCGTGGCGCTGCTGCTCTGCTTGCTGGGCTGCCACGTCTGGAAGGCGGTCACCAAGACGCTGCGGGAGCCCGGCGCCGGAGCCCAAGGTCGGTGGGCGGCGGCGGGTCCGGGGGCTTTGTGTCGCGCAGGGCCTGGCGCAGAGGCGGCGGCGGGAGGGTCCGGGGCTGCATTGTAGTGGCAGCGGCCACCGCAGCCGGAGCCGCACCGGAGCCGCGCGGGAGTCGCGCCGCACCGCCGGGCCTGCAGTCCCCGCGCAGCGCTCCCGAGGGGGCGGCGCCGCCCGGGGACGCGGGGCCCGCTGGGCGGATGCTCCCGGGGGGTTGGGGCGGGCGGGGGTGCGGGTGGCACCAGCTGTTGTTGTTGCTGCTGCTGCTGGTGGCTCGTCTGGATGCAACCGAACGTCCTTTCCTTTATGCAATGATAGGGACACGCGGCTCCATCTCCTTCTCCGTGGAAGAAGGCGGCCCAGGGCTCGTCACCGCCGCTCCCCATTCCTGACTAGGGGCTTGGGTCCTAGAATCCCAGCTCCGAGGCTGCGCTCGGCCCTTTTGTTGTGGCGGGGAGGGGGTGGCCGCCGCTCCGGGGTACCCCCTGCGCCCCAGGACCCGGAGGTCTGCAGCTGCTGCCTTCCACCAGCCTGCCGCAGTTTGGGAAAGTTTCAGGGTTTTTTCCCTATCTGATGTCTTTCCCAGACCTTTAGGGATTTGCTCAGCGGCCTAGAAATCATTGAAGAGGWGAAAAATATTGGAACTGGGAGGCCCCAATCACTTAAAAAAAATCATATCCCTTTCTGTATGTCTCCAGCTCTTGCCTTTTGTCTAATCTTTGGCCTCTGCAAATCTGCTTTCCAGCCATGGGAGTAACGTGGTCGCCTCTGAGAATGGCTACAAGACTGTCTTTTGTTTTTTACATATGAATTTATCTGGGGGGAACCCCAGAGCTTCCTTGGCATGTTTTAGTGGGGCCAAAATCGAGTGCTTCTCTATTGCTGGCCTTTTAGAAAAGGAGATTGAGGCCCTCGGATGAGCATCTGCATCCCGGCTCCTTGGGGCCTCTCAGGTCTCAGAAAGGTTCTTCCCTGTGGCTATGAGAACCCCAAGATCGCTGAGGTGTGTGGCCTGCAAAGTTGGCCCTGCACACTGAAGGAGGAGGAGGGCTCCATCCCAGCGTTCTCTTGCTGGGACCCTGCCTTATTCTTTTTCTTCATGCTAACCCTTTCCTGGTGCCAGGGACCAGAGAAGCCTGGACCTAACACTGTGGCAGGGAGGGGAGGCTCTGCCCACAATCTGGGTTTAGTTTCTTACCTACATGTTGAATTAAAGGTTTTTGTATCCATCACATGACTGTTCACTTGTTGGCATCTCTCAAATGCATTGCTTCTTCTAGAGTTATGGTAGAAAATGACCATTATGATATGTGTATAAATTTAGCAATGCATTATGGAAAGGGGGACATTGACAGGGTACAAAAAGGACCCATATGTCTTTTCATGTAGGAAATGAATGTTTATGACATTAGATCATCAACGCTGAATCGTAGCCTCTTTCATTTATACCCTACTGCTCTTTGAATCAGCTATTTTAGTGAATATGATATTTTTGCCTCAATGAAGCCATTATTTTCAAAGAGCAGTTTGGATTTTTTTGTCATCGGAAATATATAATATATGGAAATATTGGTTGTGCACTTGTAAAATTGAGGAAYATGTGGCTCCAATTTCTTTAAAAAGTCACCAAAAAACCTACTACGAGGCTTTAGGTCTAAGATCATGCTTTACTGAATTCTTGCTGCTAAACCCTCAGAAATGGAAGATTCTGTGAACTGGGGAGGAAAACAGTCAACCTGTGAGGATTTGCCTAGGCTCAATATCTTAGTATATGGTACGGCTTCAGTGGGAGTCAAGTGTTTTGGAATGTTCTTCCCCTTAGATTACTTCATTCATTGACTTGTTATTTAGAGTAACGGTAAATTTTTTAAGGTGTTGAGCCCAAGAGCTGTATCAGAAGTCAGGATCTCACCATCTGACATCTGAATTTGGGGTTAGTCATTATTCAGGGAATGGGCAATTTCTCTTTTGACACATATGGTTGCTTTCAACCCACTGAGTTCTTCAAAGCATCTTGATATTTATCACTATGTTTCCCCCCTAGTGCTGGGAATTGAATCCAGGGCCTTGCCAGTGCTAGGCAAGCACTCTACTACTGACTGAGTCATATCCCTAGCCCATCACTCTCTTCTAATAGTTTTAAAATGCATGTCTTCTCTGTTCCCCTGGATCTTGGACACAGTGAAGACAAATGTTACATTTGATTTCACTTTGCATTTTTACAGAAGGTTGCTGATTGTTTTGCTCATAGTTGGGGCTCAGGTAGTACTGAATGGATGAAAGGTTGGAGATGCTAATGTGTATACCAGAGTGCAACCTGAGATTATCACTGTTAGCATGCATTTTAAGAAGGAAAGTTCAATGCCTATTTTCTCCAAAACCTAATTGTAAGATTTGTTTTTGTATTGTAGAAACAAACTTGAATCAGATTTAGAACAGGCGTGTACACACACTTTGTACACCAACAGGGTTTGGAAATCACATAAGTGAAACTACTTGGAGATCTACTTGGAGAAACCGTGCACTCTAGTATTCCAACTAGGTTCTTGGGACTAAATGATACCTACTTTATTAAGTGAAAATTATAACATTCGGAGAAACCAACATCTGCCGAATTTCTTGGCATTACTTTGCTGTTTATATATTCAAGATAAAATTCAAGTTTTGGTTTTAGATTCTCTTACTGTAGCTGCTTTGAATCAGCAAAGCTATTCCAATGCAGTGGTTAGTTGCCATGTGATTAATATCATTAATATGAAGAATATGATTGGGTATTTTTATTCAGGGGCTAGACGAGTTGTTCTGAAGTGTTTACAGTGTCTTTTGTGGAAATTTTACAGAAAGTGTTATTCAAAAATATTGACTAACTTTGACTTGCAGTATGTCTTACAAAACTGAGAGCTTGATAGAGGGGGGCCTCTCCTTGAAGAGCAGTAAGCTGTGCAGATGTACTCTATAGGGATGTGTTTTTGAAGCCCAACACTATTTACTTGCCAAAAGAAAGGTCAGTGCTAGGTGAAAGACTTCATGCTCAGACTTCTATTGTTCCATCTTTATTTTTTTTGTTATTATCTAGTTTTCAATAATGTGTAAACTTTTTGTTCCTACAGAAAAGCTACAATCTGTCATAACATTTGAGTGAATGGTTGGTTACCACTCTTCTCTCCAAGAGCTCTATTTTTTGCCAAACTCAAACTTCAATTATTAGACCACTGTGATCAGTTGAAAGACTGAAGCCATGAATGGAGGGCTCTTAGAAGGTCCAGCCAACAAGCGTGACTTAGGCTGACATTATATTAAGAGCAAAGAGCATGACTTTTTCTTTTTTCCTTGTGGGGCTACAGATGGAACTCAGGGTCTCTTGCATGCTGGAAAAGCATTCTACCACTGAGCTTCATGCCCAGCCCAAGAGCATACCACCTAAACAAAAAACTTGCATCTTGGGAACCTGGAGAACTTAGACTGACAGAGGCCACTGGGGTATCATTGAAAGCCAGATGTGACAACTCTATGCAGAAACAACTGCAACAACAACTAGGGGATTTCTGGAAAAGTCTTGGAAATGACTTTATGATTTTTTTTTTTTGAGACATGGTCTTACAATGTTGCCTAGGCTGACTTCATACTCCTGGGCTCAAGTAATCCTCCTGCCTCAACCTTCTGAGTAGCTGAAACTATAGATGTGAGCTACTGTGCCCAGTTATAAATTATATTTGTAATCCTACTTGTTCTGTAATACTTTGTAATTTATAGGCTACTAGCTTAAAATCCTAAAATCCTGAGTAAATTTATTTCTTTTTCTTTTCTTTTTTCAGTGCCAGGGATCCAAACCAGGGGCGTATAATCACTGAGCCATATCCACAGCTCTTTTTATGTTTTATTTTGAGACAGGGTTTCACTAAGATGCTTAGGAGGGCCTCGCTAAATTGCTGAGGCTGGCTTTGAACTTTTGATCCTCCTGCCTCAGCCTCCTCACCTGCTGGGATTATAGGTGTATACTACTGCACCCAGCTACAGAGTGAATTTCTAAACTCATAGCTGTCAAATGGCTTTCTGAGTTTTAATCAGTTCTTCTTTTTGATACTGATATATCTGTAAATCTCTATAAATCAAACTCTAACAACTTCATCATTGTTGACAAATACTAAGTAATTTTAGTAAGTACTAATTTACTAGTTTTAATAAAAAGCACATGGAATTCAGTTGGACACCACACATGTATATTGGAAGGAAAACTTAGATAAACATTTCAGAGATTTAGATGAAAGGATTTGTGATGACAACCAGCTCGTGTACTTTTTGTGAAACATGTTTAGTGGAAATTTCTATACACACGCACAGTTTGATCAAGTTATAGAGAAATATTGTAAACAAATCATTTTCACTTGATTTTTACCAACTACTTCATGACTTGAACACCACAATTTTTACTAAATTATTTTGTTCCAGCAAATGTGGAACTGAATGTATTTTTTTTTAAAATCAAGCTTTAAGTAGATCAGTTAAGTGTATGAAATAACTGTTTTTAAAAGAAATTCTACACTCTGACCCAATTCATGCCCTCTATTAAGAAACACCTAATATTTTGAAACTCAAATTTGCAAATAGGCAAAATTTAAAGCAACTACCGCGTTAGAAAGGGATTCCTATAAGTTCTTTTTAAAAAGCAGTTTGGCCAACATGTTTTGAATGACTCCATCTTTCTGTGATCAAGTATTTGCCAGCTCCTCTTCCTCCTTAATTCAAGTCAGCCTGCCAACAATTGCTTTTTTTCTTTCATTTATCCCTCACAAAATATATGAACCCTTACAGATTACAGTAATTAGAACTTTCCATGTGGGGAGCTCCACCTTCCCATCTCTTGCCTTTAGCTGATATTTCAGTTTTATTTCTTTATATCTAATAGACACTTTTAATTCAAAGTGCCAGGTTTACCTTAAACTTCTCATCCTGCACCCTTCTCCAGCCCAGCATATTTTC